ACAGAAACCTTCTTTACATTTTGGACATGAGGTTAATATATACCTGATCAACCACTGCCGTCAGAAGTGACCACTACATGTTAAAGCGGTGGCAGATAATCCATGCACATTTTCCTTCTTTCTTTCTAAATCCAGATCTACATGCATGAACACAAAGACATGTGACCCCATGAGGAAGAAAGCCTTTCATTGCAAGGACTTGGGAGACCTCTTTGTCTTGGACTACAACTCCCAGGGTCCTCCAACCATCATGCCAGGAATTTTTGTAGGGTTTATGGGAGTTACATTTCAAGAGAGCCATTCCCTCCACTCTCCGGAGCAGGAATTCCCACGCTCTATTCCTCCAGGATTTCTTTTGGAATTCAACACCGAGAAGCCTCAACTGTCTTGGCCGAAGATCAGGGATTCTGGGACATGGAGTCCCCAAGAAGTGGAAGGCCAGGGCTTGGGAAGGGAGGCTCCAGAGAAGGGAGTATGCTGCCATGTCTGAACAGCTCTTACCATCAGGAAATACTTCCTGATATTTAGGTGGAAGGTTCTTTCCTGCAATTCGAATCCACTGCTTTATATCTTAGTCTCCAAAGCAGTAGAAAAAACTGGCCCTTTTCTCCTCAATGGGACATCCTTCCAAATATTGGCTCTCCTGTCCTCTCGGCCTTTTCCCCCCTCCAAATTAAACATCCCCGGCTCCCTCAGCCATTCCCTATCGCCCTTCTCTGGAGACATTCCAGCATCTCAAAATCTTCCTTGAATTGTGCTGCCCGGAACTGGACGTTCTTGCGTGCAGCTCCTTTCCGCTTGGTGTTCAAGCAGTGTTTCCTATATGCTGGTGTTCGATCTAAGGTGACACCGAGATATTTAGGATGGAAACAGTGTTCAAGCTCTTGACCTTCAATTCAACTTTGCTTGAATGGTGCTGCCTGGAACTGGACGCAGGGTCATTCCAGGAGAAGTTTCATCCAAGTCTAGAAGAGAGTGGGCGAAACTTACCCGGATCTAGACCCATTGGGACAGCCTAGAAGCACATTGGCTTTTTTAAGCGGATGTATCATCGCACTTTATTGAAAAAGCAATTTTTATTCAAAGACAAAAAACAAAACAAAGAATGTTTATACAAATGACAATTTTTGGTATTTCATTTTTCTTTTACACAAATCATAATTTTGGTATTTTGTTAAAGGACTACTTAACAAAGAGCGAACACGGACACACACCTAGCGCAATAAGAACAGAACTAACAAACACTAGTCTATGAAAGTCTCACTCTATGATTTTTATCTCTATTGACTCGGTTTCCTTTCAATGCTGTTCTGTACTTCATCCATTCACTTAATGTGTCCATCTCGACTGATTCATGAGTCCAGTCACATCTGGCTTGGACTACTGCAACGCTCTCTATGTGGGGCTGCCTTTGAAGATAGTTTGGAAGCTTTAGATGGTTCAGAGATAATTAATGGACCGCCGTAAAGGGAGAGAACCCCTCCCATGTTAAGGCAGCTCCACTGGCTGCTGGTCCGCTTCTGGGTTACATGCAAAGTGCTGGTGATTACCTATAAAGCCCAAAATGGTTCAAGCCCAGACTGTTTGAGAAACCGCATCTCTGTACACAAACCAGCACGAGCACAAAGTTTGCAAACTTGGCATTCTCTTAAATGTCCTTTGATCAGTAGCTGGCCACTTGGGGGGACATGAGAGGAGGCTCCCCACAGGATTGCAAGACATCTGGGCATCCCCTGGGCAACATCTTTGCAGACGGCTAATTCTCTCATTCCAGAAGCGTCCAGAAGCAACTTGCAGCATTATGGTGGTAGGTGTTGCAATGCATGATGGAATTTTATCCGTGGGTTTTCTTATTGCCTTTCTTATATACCATGACCTCTAGAAAGTTTATATTTGTATGGCTATGGTTACCAGTGAATTTGATGTTATCATGTATTGTGTTAAGCCAAGTACTAATAAGATTGCAGATTCTTATAATATCTGGTAAAAAATTGGTTTTGTGTTATTTAGGATGTGGGTTTCTTCCAAATTTGAAATAAAAAGATTTCCTACTGAAGCGGCCAAAGGACTTCCCATTTCGGCACCAAAAATCTGTAGATAGTATTAGGTTTTAAATCTGAAAAAATTATATTCCAGGACAATGTCTAATTAAAATATGAGAAGCTGGTGTTTGGGGCTCATGTATGTTTAGTAATTCCAAAATTCTTGTTCTAGTTCGATCTAATGGTATGTTGGTATATAATGATGTTATATCCAGTGTCATTAAGATGGATTGTGGTGGTATGGTAAGGTCCTCTATGATCTTTATGAAATGTTTAGTATCTTTAATATAAGACTACACGAGGGGTACAAATGGTTGTAAATAATAACCCAAAATCTGCAGTAGGGGTTCCAGGATGGAGGAAGAGTCGGATACAATTGGTCTCCCTGGGGGAGGCATGTTTCCTTTGTGTATTTAGGTAGAACATAAACACTGGAATTCTTGTTTTGCATGTCAGGAGTCAATTTCTGACGGCATGAAGACATCACAAATTCCCTCCGTGACATACTGACTGAATCAATTCTCTCTCTGTGACATTTGAAGCCAGCAGAGGGTGCTGGAAACCTTGTATGGGAACTAGTGAAGCAACAAGTTCTAATAAGGAAACTGAGAAGAGGGGGAGATGGGCAGGAAAGGTGCACAAAAGGAAGTGGTGGTGGGAAAACTTCAGTAGTGTCTTTCTTTGCTGCAGAGATACAAGCAATATATCCATTTCAAGGCAAAAACGACTTGTGAGTGGTTATTTAATATTGCTATATAGATCCTACAGTCTTACACAGAAATGCAAATTGCTGATTTGAGGTGTGTCCTAAAGTGAGTCCTTCTGTACATACTGTTCTGATTTAAAAAAACATATTTTGTCTGTGGATCCTTAAGTAAAGGTTTATAGAAAGAAGTGTCTCCTGGGTGTCTCTCTACCTCTTTGATGTAATCCGTTTCGTTTAACAAAACTATTGCTCCTCCTTTATCTGCCTTCTTCCAGATGTATCCTTTCATGTTGGCCAATGTTTTTAACGTATTCATTTCAATGGACGTCATGTTGGAACGGGTGTAAATTTTGGTCCGGGACAATCTGTCTATGTCTATTTCAACCACCTTTTCAAATGCCCTGATGGTTATATTATCCGTGTGTGGAAAAAAATTACTTTTGGGTTTAAAATCATTAAACAGCCTCAAATACAGAAAAGGGGTTCACTCTAAGCAGCAAGACATACACACAAAGCAAGACTCATGGTCTCGCGTTCCAGAGCCCTCCCGGTATAAAGCCTGAGGTTTAGTAAACAAACACAAGATAAGCCCAGACCATATTTACTTACAAGTCTTCAGTCCGGCTTTTTTACAGTGTCAGAAATGAATAGAGAACATACTGCAAGTCGCTTCTGGTGTGAGAGAATTGGACGTCTACAAAGACATTGCCCAGGGAATGCCCAAATGTGTTCCCATCCTGCTGGGAGGCTTTTCTCGTGTCACCGCACGGGGAAGCTAGGGCTGACAGATGGGAGCTCTCTGTCTCGCGGATTCAAACCACCAAACTTCAAGTCAGCAGTTCAGCCAGCTCAAGGGTTTAACTCATTGCACCAGTCCTGCTAAAATAATACAATTGCAGCAACACAGTCGGAGTAACAATGAAGACAAGTTAATCAAGGTCAGGAGTCCAATTGTAGAGCACTGCAGATCCAGGTCAGGAGCAAGAAGAAAGGTTACAGTTCCAGAGTCACATGCCAGGAGTTCATTCAACAGAGCTGATAAAATAACAAGAGTACAAACCGAATTCAGAGTCCCAAAGTCAGGGATACAAACAAAGTTCTGGTTCATAAATGAAACCAGAAGTCAGTCTAGAACTATTCAGGATACAACAAAGTCCAGAAAAGGGTGACAGGGACATGGCTAGAGGCCAAAATTCTAACCGAGGGGCAACAGAGCCAAGACGGGAGACAAGGCTATGAAGATACGACATTGTCTGCTACCAAAGAGCTCTTCTTTTTCAGAACCCTTTTCTCCAGAGATCTCAGCTGCTGCTCCTTTCAGCAAACCTCCACAGATCACCCTAGAAGCCTGTGATGGGTTTCTTATGGAGGAGGCGAGGGGAACCCCTTCGGAGCTTGCTGCAATACGGAGAAAAATCCCCTTCTCCCAGTAGCCATCGACCAAGGCCACACAAACTAGTCCATAGTAGAGAGAGAGAGAGAGCCAGGTGCCGGCCTTCCTCTTTCTTCCAATATTTTTTGAAAGAGAGCTCAGAAACTGAAAGGCAGGTCTCCTCTAGCGGCGCATGAGTTCCATGATGTTTATTGTATGCTGAACGTTCTCTAAAGCTCTTCCCACATTCCGTGCATTTTTATGGCTTCTCTAYTATGTGGCTCCTTTGAAAGCAATGTAAATATATTTGGAAGGAATGTAGATAGTTACTGTGATGATGTGTAAATTTTATTCCTTTGGTTATGTATAGTTTGGACAGTGGTTTAGGGATGGTAGGTATGGGAGATTATGTTTTGTTGGMGAGAGTGGCTTGATGGTAGCTGAGTTGCCATAGCAACGGGGGCGGAGCCAACTATCACTTCACGGCGCAGCTTTTTAAAAGTGGTAGTCTGTAGCCGGTGAGCTACAGGAAGAGACTAATTTCTCTAGTGGGAGAAATAGGGAATTAGTCAGTGGCCGGAGAGCTACTGAGAAAACACTGAATCTTTTGGTGGAGATTCAGGGAATGTGTCTGTAGCCAGTGTGCTATAGGGAAAAACTGAATCTCTTAGAGATTCAGTGAATCAATTGGTGACCAAAGTGGTTGCAGAGAAGGACCCGGTACAGGGGGTTGTTGATTCTGAATTAAGAATCAAGGTTTGGCTGGGTTTAAGCCTGTTGTGCCAGCTGTGAAACCTTATGAAGTGTTTGCCTGAGTTTACTCATGAAACCTTTCCAATGTAACCATCAAGATTTATGCCTCTTTTGAAGGACAGTTATACATTGTTATACTCCTGTTAAAATAAACTTGTTACTTTTTCCTCAAGCCTTGCCTGATACAGTTTCTTCTAAGTTGAACAGCCTGCAATAATAAAGTCAGCCAGAAACAGTCCCTTTATAAAATAGTTCCTAGGCTGATATTGATCGTTGCCCGGCTTCCCTCATAGATAAGGTGGCAGTGGGTGCTTTACCACGTGCACCTTCACAATTGGTGGCATTCGGTGGCATTAAAACGGTCATCGTTACAATTGGTGGCAGCAGTTTAATAATGACTCCTTCACAGTTACTCTGCCTGAAACTTTCTCCACATTCTATGCACTTCTATGGCTTCTGTACTGTGTGAGTCATTTGGTGGGAACGAAGAGCGCCATTGCGACTGAAGCTTTCTCCACATTCCATGCATTTATATGGCTTCTCCCCTGTGTGGATCCGTTGATGGGACCGTAGAGTGCCACTGAGACTGAAACTCTTTCCACATTCCATGCATTTATGTGGCTTCTCCCCTGTGTGGATCCTTTGATGGGTATGCAGACCCGAACTGTGACTGAAGCTCTTTCCACATTCCATGCATTTATGTGGTTTCTCCCCTGTGTGGGTCCTTTGATGGGTACGCAGATGTCCACTCTCACTGAAGCTCTTTCCACATTCCATACATTTATATGGCTTCTCCCCTGTGTGGATCCGTTGATGGGACCGTAGAGTGCCACTGTCACTGAAGCTCTTTCCACATTCCATACATTTATATGGCTTCTCCCCTGTATGACTCCTTTGATGTCTACGTAGACTGCCACTCAGACTGAAGCTTTCTCCACATTCCATACATTTATATGGCTTCTCCCCTGTGTGCTTCCTTTGATGAGAACACAGATTATCTCTACGACTGAAGCTTTCTCCACATTCCACGCATTTATGTGGCTTCTCCCCTGTGTGCTTCCTTTGATGGAAACGCAGACTATCTCTACGACTGAAGCTTTCTCCACATTCCACGCATTTATATGGCTTCTCCCCTGTGTGCTTCCTTTGATGGGTACGCAGATGTCCACTCTGACTGAAGCTTTCTCCACATTCCACGCATTTATGTGGCTTCTCCCCTGTGTGGATCCTTTGATGTGACCGTAGATGGCCACTGTCACTGAAGCTCTTTCCACATTCCACACATTTATATGGCTTCTCCCCTGTGTGCTTCCTTTGATGGGAACGTAGAGTGCCACTGTGACTGAAGCTCTTTCCACATTCCACGCATTTATATGGCTTCTCCCCTGTGTGGATCCTTTGATGGGACCATAGACTGCCACTCTGACTGAAGCTTTCTCCACATTCCCTGCATTTATATGGCTTCTCCCCTGTGTGCGTCCTTTGATGGGAACATAGATGGCCACTGTGACTGAAGCTCTTTCCACATTCCACACATTTATATGGCTTCTCCCCTGTGTGCTTCCTTTGATGGGACCATAGACTGCCACTCTGACTGAAGCTTTCTCCACATTCCARGCATTTATYTGGRTTCTCCCCTGTGTGGATCCTTTSATGGGAACGTAGATMGCCACTCTGACTGAAGCTTTCTCCACATTCCATGCATTGATATGGCTTCTCCCCTGTGTGGGTCCGTTCATGTACAGTAAGAGAACTTTTCCAATCAAATTGTTTTCCACACTCCATACACTGATGTAACTTCTCCCCTGTGTCTGATCTAGGATTGGGAGGTAGAGTGCTTGCCATTCTTTCACATTTATAATTCAAATATGATGCCAGGGGTTCACAGATATAACCTCCTGAACAGTGGTTTTTGTATTGGTGTAGCTTCTGCTCGCTTTCCTAAGCCTCTCTTTTTACAGCAAAATCTTATTTCCTGCCTTAACAGCACAGGTATGTAGCCTCAAATATATTTTCTAGTACTTATTTTTCTTGTTGTCATTGCTGTGTATCTTGAAGTCACTTTGAACTTGCAGCACTCCTCAGGCAAAGCTCTCACAAGGCGTTCTTCACAGAACTTGTTCCGAAGTTACCTGCCAGAGAAATGAGAGGAAAATCTCTTCAGGAGTTGAACAGGGAAAGATCTCATGGAACACGAAGAGGAAGTCTAGTGCTGTAGCAAACCAAGAGGAAGAGGGAAGCTGCCCATTGCCTGGTGACACTTGGCAAACTACGAACAATCCTTCCTCAGGTACAAAGGGGACAGGCACAAAGATTCTCTGTGTGCGATTTCTTACACTGCCAGGTGTTCAGGGAGGGGCCTTTATCATCCTCAGCCAGGGGGGTCCTGGGCCTCTCTCAACTACAAACTCCAGAGTCCTGCAGGAAACAGACACAGGACTTCAAAGGGGAAGCACGCTCTTCTCCTCCTTGGAAGGCCAGACTCATAACTTTTCTGAGGCTGCAGGGATTCTTCCTCCGCGTGGCTTTTTGGGCCTTCTCCTGTTGAGTCCACCCTCCCCTCCTGTCTTTGCAGGCCCCTCTGCCCTCCTCTTCCTGCCTCCCGAAGGCACTGACATCCTTCCCGCCCTTCCTTTGCTCATGAATGGGGAGCGGTGGATGTGTTGCCGCCACCCCAGGCTTCACGGATTACCTCCAGCTCCGCAGTGTGGTGTGTCTGCTTTGAAAAATGTGTTTCTTAAAAACATAAGCTTGTGTTCCCGAAACACAACTGTTTAGGTTTTACTATTTTAAACTTCTCTTATTAATGAATTGCTATTTATTTTAAAGGAAAGGCATGAGAATGCAGACCTGGAGCCTGGAATTGCATCAACCTCTGCACCACAAACACTACATCTTCCTGTCCCATGCACAAGCTGTGGCATGTTCAGCTTTTTCACACAACAATTACTCAATTACATCTGCCCCAAGTGTAAACAAATCACTCACATGGTACACAGGATCCAACAACTTGAGGACCCTATTAAGACCCTTAATGACATTCAGGAACTGGAGCTGTTCTTAGACACCACACACCACACTGTCCTAGACACGCAGCCCATAGCACACCAACAATATGGGGAGGCTCAAGAGGAGATCACCTCAGATATGGACAACCCTCAAGCTTGGAGGCATGTCACCCTTAGAAAGAAACATAGGACCCGGAAGACTCCTCAGAATACCTCTGCCCAGCTGCACTTACACAATAGATTCCGAATTCTCACACAACTAACACTTGACCAAGAAACACAGCATATTGGGGAAGACCAGAATGGCTTAGATACTGATCAGTGGCTCATCCTTGATCAGTGTGCGGGGGATAGCCCCGACTGGGACAACACTTCACAACATTCACACTTACACAATCATGCAGGTGTACCGTCCCCAACCATAGACCAGGTGCAACAGGAACACATACAAGAGAAAAATTGGCTCTTGGACGAATCTCAATGGATTGTCCTTGACGAATGCACCGGGGATGTTGAGGAGGAGAACAACACTTTACACCTACACAATTCACATCAACAGGATCACTTTTCTGGGGACCTACACACTACATTGCACAAAAGGGACCCTGTCAATCCTGAAAGTAAACAGGTCTTGGTAGTAGGCGACTCCCTCCTTAAAGGAACGGAAGCCGTCATTTCGAGACCAGATGGGATGGCTCGAGAAATATGCTGCCTACCGGGGGCAAAAATACACCCTATCACTCAGAGGCTCACCAGGCTCCTCAAGCCCAATCATCGCCCTCCCCTCATGTTGATTCATGTAGGAACAAATGATACTGCTAGGCATACTTTTCAAAAGATCACAAATGATTTTCGAGCTCTCGGAACAAAGCTAAAACAATCTAGTACAGGTCAATGACTGGCTTAGAAAATGGTGTCAGGAGGAACGCTTTGGCTTCCTCGACCATGGCCTGCTTTTCCAGGAGGATGACCTACTGGCAAGGGATGGGGTGCATCTCACACAAGTAAGAAAACACCTTTTTGCTCACAACTCGCAAATCTCATTAGGCGCACTTTAAACTAGGTCTACCGGGGAGGGGGACAACAGCCTTGCGAGCACTACTTTACCCACAATGTGAGGGAACCGCCAGAAGACTAAACGGAGGGCTGCACAAACACAACGAAGACCAAGTACCAAAAGCACTATAATCCCAATTAAACAGCTCAGGGGAAGATCTCAGGGGCTCACATGTCTTTACACTAATGCACAGAGCATGGGAAATAAACAAGACGAACTCCAACTTTTAGCACAACACCACAAATATGATATCATAGGCATCACTGAAACCTGGTGGGATGACTCCTATCGCTGGAATGTAGATATCGAGGGGTATAACCTCTTTCACAGAAACCGAACAAAGGGGAGAGGAGGCGGAGTAGCCTTATATGTCAAAAACTCTTATGCTGCAGAAAAGATTCAAGACAGCAATCTGGGAAACCAGCTTGAAATCATTTGGATAAGAATCAAGGGAACTGGGACTCAAAAAGATCTCGTTGTAGGCGTCTACTACAGACCTCCAGCCAGGAGGAAGAACTAGATGAAGTCTTCTGCCAACAGTTGACCAAACAGGCATAGAGAAGAGATGTAGTAGTCATGGGCGATTTCAACTATCCCGATATTTGCTGGAAAACAAACTCGGCCAAGAGTACAAGGTCCAACAAATTCCTCGCTTGCCTTGCAGACAATTTCATGGTCCAGAAGGTAGAAGAGGCAACAAGGGGGTTGGCTACTCTTGATGTCATCCTAACAAATGCGGAGGACCTGATCAATGCAGTTGAAGTGGTCGAATCCTTAGGGGCAAGTGACCATGTGCTCCTGCAATTTGAGGTACAAAGGAAGGCCGAAACTAAGACAAGTCAAACCCGCATTTTGGACTTTAGGAGAGCTGATTTCCAAAAAATGAAGGAAACGCTGAGCAGCATTTCGTGTTACGGATGGATGGGAATTTCTCAAGAGTGAAATACTCAAGGCACAATTGCAAACTGTGCCAACAAAGAGAAAAAATAGGACAAGTGCAAAGAAGCCAGAATGGATGTCCAAAGAACTTCTAACTGTGCTAAAACACAAGAGACATGCACAAGAAGTGGAAAAAGGGAGAAATCACCAAAGAAGAATTCAAACAAATAGCCAACACCTGCAGGGAAAAGGTCCGCAAGGCTAAAGCACAAAACGAGCTCAGACTTGCCAGGGACATTAAAAACAATAAAAAGGGCTTCTTTTCTTATGTCAGTAGAAAAAGGAAAAACAAGGAGGCGATAGGGCCTCTTCGAGGAGAAGATGGGGCAATGCTGACAGGGGGTAGAGAAAGGCAGAACTACTTAATGCCTTCTTTGCCTCGGTCTTCTCACAAAACAAAAGTCATCTTCAACCTCAGCAAGACTGAGTGGATGAGGGATTTGAGGACATCCAACTCCAAATTGGGAAACAAGTCATACAGGAATACCTGGCCGCACTAAATGAGTTCAAGTCCCCAGGGCCAGATCTACTACATCCAAGTGTATTGAAGAAACTAGCGGAAGTCATTTCAGAACCATTGGCAATCATCTTTGAGAGTTCTTGGAGAACGGGAGAAGTTCCAGCAGATTGGAGGAGGGCCAATGTGGTCCCAATCTTCAAGAAGGGAAAAAAGGATGACCCAAACAATGACCAGTCCGGTCAGCCTCACGTCAATACCAGGCAAGATTCTGGAAAAGATTGTTAAGGAAGTGGTCTGAAAACACTTAGAAACAAATGCGGTCATTGCTAATAGTCAACATGGATTTATCAAAAACAAGTCATGCCAGACTAATCTGATCTCTTTTTTCGATAGAGTTACAAGCTGGGTAGATGCGTGGAATGCCGTGGATGGAGCGTGTCTGGATTTCAGGAAGGCTTTCTTTGACAAGGTCCCCCATGACCTTCTGGCAAGGAAACTAGTCCAATGTGGGCTAGGCAAAACTAGGCTGAGGTGGATCTGTAATTGGTTAAATGGACGAACACAGAGGGTGCTCACCAATGCTTCCTCTTCATCCTGGAAAGAAGTGACAAGTGGAGTGCCATCAGCAGGGTTCCGTACTGGGCCCGGTCCTGTTCAACATCTTTATTAATGACTTAGATGAAGGGTTAGAAGGCAGGATCATCAAGTTTGCAGACGACACCAAATTGGGAGTGATAGCCAATACTCCAGAGGACAGGAGCAGGATTCAAAACAATCTTGACAGATTAGAGAGATGGGCCAAAACTAACAAAATGAAGTTCAACAGTGACAAATGCAAGATACTCCACTTTAGCAGAAAAAACAAAATGCAAAGATACAGAATGGGGGACGATGCCTGGCTCGAGAGCAGTACGTGTGAAAAAGATCTTGGAGTCCTCGTGGACAACAAGTTAAACATGAGCCAACAATGTGATGTGGCGGCAAAAAAAGCCAATGGGATTTTGGCCTGCATCAGTAGGAGCATAGTGTCTAGATCTAAGGAAGTCATGCTCCCCATGCTCTATTCTGCTCTGGTTAGATCACACCTGGAATATTGTGTCCAATTCTGGGCACCACAATTGAAGAGAGATATTGACAAGCTGGAATGTGTCCAGAGGAGGGCGACTAAAATGATCAAGGGTCTGGAGAACAAGCCCTATGAGGAGCGGCTTAGGGAACTGGGCATGTTGAGCCTGAAGAAGAGAAGGCTGAGAGGAGATATGATAGCCATGTATAAATATGTGAGAGGAAGCCGCAGGGAGGAGGGAGAAAGCTTGTTTTCTGCTTCCCTGGAGACTAGGATGCGAAACAATGGCTTCAAACTACAAGAAAGGAGATTCCATCTCAACATGAGGAAGAACTTCCTGACTGTGAGAGCCGTTCAGCAGTGGAACTCTCTGCCCCGGAG